TTCGAATAGACGCCTCTGGCGGTCGTGTTGTCAGCCCATTGCCTGTACCACTTCTGCCTGAAGTGGTCCGCCAACCAGTTTTTGACTCCCAAGAAAGTCATTGGTACTTCTGGCTGAGGCTGGGCAGCCCCGGTTTTCGCCAGAGTGTCCGCTCTCTCATTGCCACTGATGTCGACGTGCCCTGGTATCCATTGTATTGCAACCTTGCACCCTAGTTCACCAAGTCTGCATATGTCGTTGGTAATGACGTCGACCAAGCGTGTGGTACCCTGTTATTGTTTTTGTTTGTTTAAAGAAGTATCTATATAATGAAGTTTACATTATTAACATCAATTACTTTTGAGAAATATTTAGCTTCTGTATAATATTAGCTTACCGTGCCCCCTTCTCTCACCCTGAAACTACATTTTTTTAATCTAAAAATTGGTACAAACGTATCCTTAAATGGACAACAACAAAATAATCTCGATACCATTTTTAACATCTTTTACATCAACTGAATTTGATATGTTGGAATCTACATTAAGATTTTAAACAAACTTTTATCTCGCTTCACCACTAAATGAGCGGAAAATCGTAAAACACAGAGTTATTTGATCTAAAGATGAACCTTTCAACCCGTTTCCACGCCTGCAACAGCTACTTGCTTTCTTTTTTTTAAAATTATTATTAATTAAATAAAGATTTGCACCACTTTTTTTATGAACTATTCACAAAATGGAAACAAAAATGTATACTATTATTTTGAAAGAAAATCTTAACCCATCTTTGTTCACGCCCATGAACAGTACAGGGGGGGAAAAAGGTTCTATTTTTATGATTAAATTGTCAAATGTATAAAATGATTCGTTTTTTTTATATTTGTATTTGAGGTATGGACATGGGCGCCCAATTACAACTTCATTAAAACATTACTAAATATTTTTTTGCCCGCCACCCTAGAAATTTAATCAATTTTTTTTGCAACCCCCCCTAGAAAGTTTTTTGCGGGCGCCCATGGGTATGGGTATACTTTTGCGAATGTATTTTTTTAAAGCCCTATAAACTAAATTTCCTTATGAGTTCTTTTTCACAATTGTAATAACACTGCATTTATAGTGTTACCCACACACAAATGTGCACTCAGAATACAAAGGAAAATGATTCAGAAAATGGCGTCATTAGTTCAACAAATGAAAAAAAAAATTTCATAGAATTAGAATTATAAATTAAATTTACATTAATTATATTTTAAGTATTGCTATTAATAGTTCACACAATTATCGGGAAAAACCAAACACATTGCGCTTTTTAACAGTAATAGTTATACTGGGTACAAATTCAAACGTTTCTTCAAGTGCTTTCATCAGTACATCATAAGTATTTTTTAAAAATCAAACACACACACACACACACACACACACACATATATATATATATAATATTGACAGCTTAGCTCATTCTTATGTAAATATTGTCAGCTTAGCTCATTCTTATGTAAATATTGACAGCTTAGCTCATTCTTATGTAAATATTGTCAGCTTAGCTCATTCTTATGTAAATATTGTCAGCTTAGCTCATTCGTATGTAAATATTGTCAGCTTAGCTCATTCTGATGTAAATATTGTCAGCTTAGCTCATTCTTATGTAAATATTGTCAGCTTAGCTCATTCTTATGTAAATATTGTCAGCTTAGCTCATTCTTATGTAAATATTGTCAGCTTAGCTCATTCTTATGAAATATTGTCAGCTTAGCTCATTCTTATGTAAATATTGTCAGCTTAGCTCATTCTTATGTAAATATTGTCAGCTTAGCTCATTCTTATGTAAATATTGACAGCTTTGCTCATTCTTATGTAAATATTGTCAGC